TAGTGCATGATGGTGAACATTTAAAACAGCCCCGTTTACATCCCACTGGTCCTACCTAACACAAAACATATGTAGTAAATTTCAGTTCTGGCTTTAAAAATAAAACAGTGACAAATACTAAAAGATGGTTTTAGTGTTAGAAATGCACAGAACTTGTTGTGAGTCTTACGTAATCTGTATTTTACAAGTTGGAATTGCAGATATGTCTCTGGGTGTCGTCTGAAGTGCAAGTTCCATTGGTGTGACCACATTTCATGGTTAACTGAGGTGACTGACAGCAGACAAGGAGACTCTTTTCCAAAGGCAATTCAGACTTCTTGCAATGTGAGAGAGAGCAGGCTGTGAACAGACCCATGTGGTTGCTGATATAGAGATGCCTCAACTTCCACGATAATGATCAGATTTCTTTCTCTGTGAGTGGATGGAGAAGAGCAGCCCTCCATAGTTTGTAGCCGAAATGATAAAGGCTGGGAACACTTGAATTTGTTATTAGTTTTTGTTGTTTTTTTCTTTTCTGGAAATAGATGGATGGCAAGATATACCAGTTGATTTCTAGCAAACCCCATTCGCTTTAGACAGTTCATGTACTGCTTTTCACTGAGGTTGGCTGTAGCAGTAAATACTGCAGAACTGGGGCAGCAGTGACCACTTTCAGTGATTTGTAAGAGCAGTAACACTTTGATGGTTCATGTTGCACTACAAAACAATTTGATTCCTCACAATGAGGCTGGTCACAAATTAAAGAGTGCAGCTGTGTGGAGCCATCTCTGTGACACATTTCAGTGAATACTGAAAGCAGTGAAGACTGGTTTCCCATGGAGGTGTCTTATGATGATAGGCTTCTTTTTTCTAAACTTCATTAGACCAAAATATTAAAAATAAAGGCAGGAGAGCCACCGTGACTGAGGAACATATACTTCGGTGGCTAATAAGCTCTGATTAACATTTTATTGCTTTAGAGCATCTGTGGCATCCTCCTCCTGTGTGGTTTCTCTGTCTAATAAGACAAGCTCATGCTGCAGGCTTTTTTCCTCAATAGGGAAATAATAAGGTATCTCATAGCTACAGAACTGCCTATTCTGGCAAAACTAGCTGGAAGTGGATGTGTTTGAGACCTTGTTCCCATTGATAAAGCGTATAGGTAAACCAGATTGTCACTATTAGTATACTCTTAGCTACAAAGAAGTGGAACACCCAGGCAAAGGACTAAAAGGTGCAAGGGCTCATACTGAAGTGTGCTCAAGGACAATCGGATTGCCGGTTTTTTCTTCTCCCGTGTAATGGGTTTTCTGTAATGTAGCTAAATCCTTCTTGTGCAGGTATTTTCTTGAGGATTATTCCAAGGCAGTCAAAATGGAAACGGTTGTGAGCTTCTCTTTTGTGGTCTGTGTGCCACTCAGAGTTGACTTGGTTTTCTGTAAAAAAAAACCCTCGTTAGTCTGCATGCCCTTGCCAAACAGCAGAGACGCTGCTGTGTTTGGAGTCACCCTGAGCAAAGAGCATATGTAGCGGTGTACCCAGAGAGCAGGGGGTCACACTCCCAGCTAAATGTCCTTTCACCAAAAGGGGAATAAAATCCTGTGGGAGCAATGGTGACTCGAGCTGCTCTGAAGAGTTGGACAGGAGCTGCCTGACATCGGTGTGTCTTTGCCTTTTCCTTCCACTGCCAATGCTGAATGTCGCCCGGGAGCAGAGGGTCTGCAGGAGACGTCATTTCGTGGACCTTTCTCTCAGTAGCATAGCAACTGCCATCGGTCCCCACCGCTTGGCTCCCTCAGCTGTGCTGGATCAGGAACTGAAACCAACTTTACAAACAGCCCTGAAAAACAGGAAAAGTTGTGGGAGGATTTATTTTTAACTGGGATCTCTCTGTTCTCTTAACCAGCTCTCCACAGGCTCCACAGGACTGGCATAACTGGGGAGTGCTTGGAGCCGGGGATGGGACAACAAGCGGGGAAGAGGAAGGGAGAGGAGGACAATTAGGAGGAAGATCTGCTGGTTCCTGGCTTCAGGGTTCAAGCACAAATTCAGGGGCAGCCCTATGAACGCTTTCAGCCCAAATGCTGGTGGAGTATGGCTTCAGTAATGAGCTGCAATCAGAGGAGTAGTAGCCAGTAATTAGTAGTAAAGTCCTTTCAGTTTCACTCTATTGACCAGAGGAGGGGAAAAAGTCAAATTTAAGCACGGGGATTTCCTTAGAAATTTTTGTGCTCTGATGCTGTGTCTAATGATTCAAGGAGCTGGTCTGCAGCATCTTCAGCGTAGCACAGTGGCACGCCAGGCCAGCCGCGGTTGTGCTTCTATGACAACAGCCCCGTGTTCCGTGCAAGTATCATTTGATCTTATTTTCTGCATTGTGCCTCTAACAAAGCTGCTCTAGCTGGCCGCATTCTATAATTGCTTTTTTAACTGTGATCTGAAAGTTGCATTTGTAGCCAGGTACACTTTTGATTATAGCAGTCTAGGAGGGTTAATAGAAGCAGCAGTATTTCGTTTAGAAGATCAGCTTGGAGTGTGTGGATGGGTTCTGCGAAGGCAAGGCTAGAAAGAAGATATTGATTCCTGTATGATTAGTGGAACACTTCTTTGTTAAAGGTCTGCCTGTGAATCTTTAAATGGCCAGGCTTCAAGTGATGAGAGCATCTCACTTTTTTGAACTCTCTGTGAGTGGCATGGAGAAATAGAGATTTTTTTAAATTTTTTTTTTTCTTTAGTAAGTGCATGTGTGTTCTCAGGAGAATTTGTGGCACTTATGTATGTGTATGAGGAAGATAAATTACTCAAAAAGAGAACTTCTTACTATCTTTCAACTTGGTGATGGTACCAAATCAACAAATCATCTAGATTCATAATCTTTGTGGCTGAGATTTCTAACATTTGAACTGAGGCTGTCAGTGCGTTGGCTTTGAGTACGTGTGTGGAAGTCAATTGGGCATTGGATTCTTCATTTTAGAAATTCATGTTAAGAACCACAGGGCGTGAGTAGAAGAGTCCCTTTTCTAATACATCAGTGAAAAGAAAATTTGTGCTTGGGTTTTCTGGAGTGCTTGCAAGGGACTGTGGTCTTACTGAATAGCAGCTGAAGTTCAGGAGAGTGTGTATAAGGATTGTGCTATATCCTGCAGAGAATCACTTGTGGGTAGATTTTACTGCATTCAGTGCAGCTGTTGACTGTCAAGCTACAGGTAAAGTTCTTCAGAAACTGCCTTTGTTAATGCTGCCTGTGAAGAGAATGTCTGCTGCACCAGCCCTTTTCAGTGTGAGAAAGTTGCATGTGTTTAGTCGCAGATAAAGTCATGCATATTCTGCTGAAGTTTAAACTGCTGGGAATTTAAGTTAAATTGTCATCCTGCATTAAGTTGCCTTTGAACAGCATTTTGGTTTATAGCTGTTTAACTACAGTGGGTTTTGAACTGCTCCTTTTCCAGTGAGTGAGTGGAGTCCTGTGGGCAGGTGAGACTTGCTAAGACGGAAAGTATCTGGGCACACGGGGAAAGTAGACGCTTGTTCCCAAAGATGCCTGTGAATCTGAGTTGAGGGGGAAATTAACTTATTTCCTTACATGTTGGGGGAAGAAGAGACTTTGGTCTCCTGTCGGTGCTCTCTGACGCTGTGCGCAGGCAGCAGCTGTCCTAATTTGGTGGACGAGTCGCTGCTCATCAGACCCATGCTGTCATTGCCCTGGTTTGCACAACCCCCTGACTGGTTATAAGGAGCAGAGACCTTTTCTTGTTGTGGGGTAGATTTTGAAACAGCACTTCAGATAAAATGTGTGGCATACCTGTTAAAAGGTAAAGTTTCCTTTTTTTCCTCTCTGTAGCTGTGTAGTCGCATTCTGCTCTGTACAGACAGAGATGAAAAGGCAGGGCCGTGCCTTCTCCCACAGAGTGTCTGAGCTGCGAATGCTAAAGCAGGGAGGGCTGCTCAGGGAGTTCTCCTGTTCTTGATATTTCAGGCTCTGCAGCTGGTTTTTGGTTTCTGAATCCAGTTCAGGGTCACAAACGAAGGAGAGATCTCTGAGGCTGCATCTTCTCCCCAACCCACTGATGTCCCCAACTCTCACCTCCCTTGTAATCAAAAGGGATGATTTATCTGCTGCAAATGCCACCTGCAGCCCCACTGAGCCATCATGTTTTATGCAGGTACTGTTTATTTAGGAGGCTGGTTAGCTCAGTCAGTAGAGCATAGCGCTAACAACGCTAAGGTAACGGGTTCGATTCCCATTAGGTCTCCATGTGTTGCCTGATCTAGTCGAGAGGTGGCGTCCTTGGCGGCAGGGAGGCTGGATTGAAATGATCTCTAAGGTCCCTTCCAACTTAGGCCATTCTATGATTCTATTTAATTTAAATAAACAGCAGTCTTGAGAATAGATAGGTGTTGGATGACTTCAAATTTTTCAGGTGAAATTCTTGGTGTTTCATCTTCGCCCATTCATTTTGTTTTGTTTTGGTTTGGTTTTTTGCTTCCGTAGATGTTGAGGACAGAACTTTTCTAAGATTAAAATGGTGGTGTGCATGTGCTAGAAATGCAGATTTTCCCCTGTTAGTCATAAAAGGAATTATTTAAGTTTGCCTGCCTTGGAGGCTGCTAAATGAATTGCATAGTTGGCTGCACTGACAAAGATTTTAGTTCTTGGTTGCAGTACTGCAGTTTATTGGAGCAACAGAAGTGGCACCCTGCCACAGGAGTAAAGAATGCTGTTTCCCCACTAGTATTTGAACAATCTACAGTAGCCATCTGTTATTCTTTCAAACACAAAGTGGTGCAACAGGTGTATTTCTTGGGTTTGGAAATCTTACCAGTACAAGTGCATAAGAGAAATTTAAAGTGAGGATTTAAAAGAAGATTTCAAGGTGTGTTTCTTTTTTTTTTTTAGCAGATGTAGTGGTTATGCTATTATAAAGAAGAGAAATAAGCTAAACATATGGTGCACAGTTAAGGAAAACAAATGCTGAACTGCTCTTAAATCTGTTCTTTTTCACTGTTTTTCGTTTTCTTAGATGGCTTCAGTAACAGATGCCAGATACAGGCAGAAAGACACTTCAGATCAAAATTTTGATTACATGTTCAAACTTCTGATCATTGGCAACAGCAGCGTGGGCAAAACATCCTTCCTCTACCGATATGCTGATGACTCTTTCACACCGGCCTTCGTTAGCACAGTAGGAATTGACTTCAAAGTGAAAACAGTTTATAGGAATGACAAGCGGGTGAAACTGCAGATTTGGGTAAGTGCCAGCTTTTTCAAAAATGCTTTATATTAATCCCAGCAAAGATAAGGATAGTAAAATTAGCTTGTTTGGAAGTAGATTTTTTGGATTAATAACAAGTTTGATTGTTCGTAAGTTTTGTGTGCCTGTAGCATTTGTATCCCTACAAGTATAGCTGAGTAAGTTCTCTCTGTGTTGCTGTTTCACTCATCTGGTGGGACTCCTGCCATGGCCGTGAGCAACTGCTCTATGTTCTCAGGACTCCATGTAGTATGGAACTGCAATAAACCCAAAGCGAGCCTTGAGCCCTTTAGTAGCACTTGCTGAGTGAGCACTGGTAGGTGAAGGAATACAGTGGAGGCTCAGTGAGGGAACTCTACACATCAGCGTACGCTCTCCAGATCAGGTGGTTGTATGTGCCTGCAACTCAAGTGTCTGCTCAGCAGCACCAGTCCAGCTCGCTTCGTCCATCCGGGGTTCCTCATAGAGGTGTGCTTCAAACCATCTCTGCTGACAGAATTTCTTGATAAATCAAATGGGAAGAGAATTTGTGCAGGTAAGCTGGAGGGTCTGTCAGCTCAAACACTGAGTCGTGGGACTTTCTCAGCCTTTGAGAATTACAGCATCCTAACCTGGTTTAAAAAAAAACGTTCCAGCCTTTGTGAATTACAGTATTTTAACCCGGTTTAGGGGGGGGGAAAAAAAAGTTCCTGAGCTGCAGAGTGGGAGACCAAGGCCAAACAATTGTCAACAGCTTGTGATGTTTCTTTTTATGCAAAGCAAGTGTTTTGTTTTGTTCTGCTCGCTGGCAAATGACTTAAACCCTACAGTGCAAGTGCAATTTATCCTGATGGTGCTTAAACCCTCTGTGTCCCAGTGAATTACTCAAGAGTGTTTAAAAAACTCTAGGCTCAGATTGCTGTGTTTTAAAGTACCATGGAGCTTCCGCTGGAATTCCAGTTTGCAAGATTCTCAAACGGAAGACATGAAGCTGATATTCCCTTAAACAGTTTCAAAGGAGTTAGCTTACTAACTGGAGGTAGCTGCCTACTTTGTGGTTTCTCCCAGAAGTTAAGCTTAAAGTTCAGCCTTGAAGATGAGTTAAAACTGCATAGCATTTCTACCCAAATCCTGCCCCAGCTAAGAACATAGTCTTCAAGTTGATCTATCTACACTTGATTTATCATCTTTAATCATTGCACTTAAATGTAATATTATAGTACTCATATTGGATTTTTTTAATTTATTGTGATGATCTTGAATAGTCACAATAATTCAGTGAGAATCTAAACTGAGGAAATTTTTATTTTTTTTTACTGCTACAATATGATCCATTTAATTTCTGTGTTGCTGGGTATAAGGTGTAACAAATTATTTAATAAAAGATCCTGTTATGTTGCAAAATTCTAGCATTGAAACTGATGTAGATACCTGACATGAAACAGTTTGATTTAATTTAGGGTTTAGGTAATAAGAATATTTGTAATTCAGGCTCTCTAGATGATTTCCATATACTTTGTCTTTCTTAATCTTGGAATATGAATTTTTTTAACAAGTTGTGTAAAAGCAAGGCAGAAAGCAACATGAAATATTTAGGGTTTTTGCAAAGATACTGGGATTAAAATGAATTAAGCAATAATCTTAATTAAGTCTGTTTGAAAGCTTTGGTGGGGGAAAGACTTTAATAACCTTAAACTTCTTATGAGAAGAGATGTCAGGTGGATTCCTCAGAGGATACTATCTATAGGACCTGTAGTATTGAAGTTACCAACAACATTGTTGATATGAAATTTATTTTTAATAAGTGGTTTGTGCATTTGTTTGACAGTTTCCAGAGTGACTCCTGTTATTTACTTCTCTCGTTCTCCTTGCACAGATCCCTGATGTGAGTCATAATTTAAGGACCTTAACAAAAACATGAAATGTGTACCTCTCTAAAAACCGTAGTGTTTGAACTTGTTTACCTTCTCTCTGTCCTGAGCCTAAAGTTGTAATTTCACTGTGTTCTTCAGGGTACATGTGGCAGTAGTGGAGGCCATTAGCATAGCAAAAAATGTGTGTTCCTGTGTGTAAAAAGGAGGAGTTTTCTTACCAGCTTGTCTCCCAATTATTTTTTAAAAATGATTTACAGCTGCTGTTAAGTTTCTGTGATTGTGTGACCCTGTGGCTCCATCGAACGCTTTGCCTTTTTCTCCACCTTTCCAGTTACGTTGATGTCTTTTTTTGGAAATATGCTCTCCCTAAGCTTGAATCAGGTCTGATGTGAAATTAAATGAAGAAGAAGGTAGAAGCGTTTCAAATTAACCACTTCAAATATCTTGATAAAAGCCAGAGAGGAGCACTTCAAGGAACCTCTCGCGTTCTTTGCTCTGTGGAGCCAGGTTTCTTTCAGTTCAGGGTTACTTGTGCAGCTCTTAAGCCTGTGCCGCTGTGGCAGGCTGGGGGTGCTCCAGGGCTGAGCCTAAATGACCTTGTTTTGTGTCCTACAAATCTCAAGGCTGGGGAGGAAGTTACTACAGCTGTGCAGTGCTGTGATCCAGAGAGATCAGCAATCAGCAGGACTTTCCATACTGACTTTTGCCTGTGTTGAACAGAAAAGCAGAATATTCGAGTGTAGGACCCCAGCTGTGAAGAGTTCCTTGGGTTTTCTTAAAGCTAAGAAAAATGCCACCCCTTCAAGTGCCAGGCAGCAGCCCATAAAGATGAATAGTGTGTTGCTGTGTCAGTAAATGTCTTTATGGCCTGTCTCACTGTTAATATCTTCAGTGGAAATTTATGAGTGTTTTTTTTAAGCTAGAGAGGTCGCTTTTGTGTTTGTTCTGCCTTTGAGGAAGTCCGTATTTTGTGATCAGGATTTGACAAGCTGTCAAATGCAATGATCAAAAAAGAATGCTGCTCTGTTTAATTTTGATGTCACTGGTGAGCCCTTTGCTTTGTTGACATTAACACCTCAATCACCCAAACTGGTATTTTAATAAGATTCCTATGAGTTGCGCTAGTCACTTCGGAGTCTGGGAAAATGATCTGCTTTGAAAAGACTTTACAGGAGTATCTCTTTGAGAGGAATGGGACATAGCAAAGATATTTATGGTGTTTTTCAAGGTAGAATGATAGGTCTGCTGACAGAGAACGAAACAGTGAAATGGTCAGGAGCGGGGTTATATGAAATAATGTTTTGTAGGGTTTGGTTTGGTTTCCTTTAGAGAACTCCAAGATCAGCTAACTGTTTTAGTTTCAGGTGTCTTCTGTCTTGCTTAGGAATGGTGGCTTTATGTAAACAGAATAAATGACCTTTACTGAGAAAGTTCATTTTGTAGTTGGATGAGGTTTGATAATTTAAACATTTCTAATTTAAAACATTATGTAAATATATTCATATATTACGTAGCTATCCTAATATCTGCATAAATTTAATTCTTGGATCACAATTTTTTTATGCCACTGTCATCTGTAATAATACTTTCATATAAAGTGTCTCCCTTATGATGTACTTGTAAGGAGATGATTTATAATAACTCTCTGAATTTGAGGTGTACATGTGAATTATTTCTTTCTTGACCAATAGTTTTATATTCCCAGAGTTGCTAATTACTGAAGAAAAGCTAATGTATTTTCAGCTAGGTATTTTTTATTATAAATAAACCTCAAGGGTAACATTATTATATTCTTAGCAAATGCGTACAGTTAATACTCAGTGCAGCGTTCGGGTTGCCTAGCAGCTGGAGAAGGCCACTTTGTCCACATCCAGATGGAAGCAGGGCAAATGAATAAAAGTGATTTGGGTTTTAGGTGAGAGCAATGTGAGATTTCTTTTTTTTCCCCTTCCTCTGTGCATTTGTGTGTCTCTTGGTGGTAAGGGATAGTAACAGCAGAACCCTTGAGCAACGTAGCATTGAGGTTGACTGCTGAGAGGCAAACTCTGGTCCTTTGTGCTGGCCCAGTCTTAATTCCATGAGCTCTTTGGACAGTAACACAAATTTACGAATGGAAACTCATTGGCAGTGTTTAGGCACTCCATAGCACTTTGCACATCACACAGTATGTGATTTGTGTGAGGAATTAATTACATTTCCATTATACTTTTCTACAGCACCCTACGCAATGGAGTCTCATTTTTGTTGTCCATACTACACTTAAATATATATATGTAATTAATAATAAACATAGCTAAATACAGGGTTTGGCAGCTGATGTTACAGTTGAAGCTACATTTAACCCCCCTTTTTAAAGGCAAATAAAATAGAGGTTAAATTTAACTTCAGCTTAAAAGGCAAAAAGGATGTGATATTCAGATGGAGACAGCGTATTTAGACCGCAGTGTGATTTTTCTTTTAAGGTGCTGATCATCAGATTTAAACTGCTAGGATAAGTATAGCTTTTTCTGTCACATTAACAAAAATGTTTCCATGGCTTAACTGCTGAAATCTGTAGGGGTCTGACACTGGCTGTAGTGGGTGTCTGAAATGCATGCTACAGCTTTCAGGCGCAGCTGGGGAGAGGGTGCAAAGCATCATCGCTCTGTTTTTGTGGGAAGGATCTTTACAAACTGAAATATGACAACTGCTAATTATGCTGAGTGGCAGTTACCATTACAAAACAAAAAAAAGTGTAAACCAAAATAAAACCCAAGCTGTGTAGCTGTCCAGAAGGCAAACACACAGTATTTCTAAAAGCTTTTTCTATCTGTTGTCACCTGGATGACAGGACATTACTGTGCAGCTCACCTTGTTGGGAAAGGATTAAAAGAAGTGACATAAGTAACTAAGTTTGGGTTTTTGTTTTTTTCATTTAAAGGAGATAAAATTAGAATACTGGCATACTTGATTGTAAATTCTAATGCTAATTGCACACTTAACCAAAAGCTAATTATGCATTTCAGATGAGAAAATCATCTATTCCCCTGGCATCCCATTCCCATCATGTTTTTGCTAAGTTCCTTATAAGCACTGACTTTAAACTTGAATGCTTGCACAAAGCTTGATTCTAGAAAAAGAGATAACGAGTTCTGTAATTAAATA